CCCGATCTGGCGTCCTCCGGGGCCGAGTTACCCCCGGCAGGACCGCATCCCGGGCCCTGCAAACCCCGGAGGGGGCCGGTGCTGACCGCGCCCTATCCTGAACCACAATAAAAAAAAAAAGCAGCGGTTCTCCTGAGCTCGGTGTCTGTGCTTTCAGGGAGGGGGCGGGCCCGGGCTGGAAAGACTTGAGCCTAGCCTCTTCGAGGAGTCCCGTCCCTCCGACGGAAGTAGAATGAAGCCAGCCGGAAGTGAGGCGACGTCTTCCATCGCGTCTTCCTCCGCGCAGCGAGGCGACCGGAGTGACGGGGAGGGGTGAGGGAAAGGAGGGAGGTCGGGTGTCAGCCAATCGGCGGCGAGGAGGGCGGGACTTCCTGCGCGGGAGCCAGAGCGGCCGGCCGCCCGGCTCTCCGTGGTTTCCAGCTCGCGTGGTGGCGGCGGCGGCGGAGCGTCTCCGTGAGGAGGTGCGCGGGGCCATGACGTCAGCGTCCACCAAGGTTCGACCTCCCTCGCGGACTGCGCTCCCTGGCGGCCACGGGAGGGTGGGCCCCCTGCCTGGCTCCCGGCTGGTGCGCGCTGGGCGGGGGGCGGGCTGATCGGAGGCTGGGGTGGGACGGCGCGCTGCCGGCCCCCCGTAATGCTGCTCCGCCCCTAGGTTGGGGAGATCTTCTCCGCGGCCGGCGCCGCCTTCACGAAGCTCGGGGAGCTGACGATGCAGCTGCATCCAGTGTCGGACTCTTCCCCTGCCGGGTACGTGAGGCCAGCCTGGGACCTGGACGCCGAGAGCAGTCGCTTGGATCCGGTCACAGACACGACCCTCTCTAGCGCAGGGAGATCTTATGAATTCCTCTGTGCTGCTTGGCCCAGCGCAGCGTAGTTGTTGGATCATTGTTGAATTAGTGAATGACAGGTTGAAGATACTACCAGGTCCACAGTCCCCCCCGCTGCAAACCGACATACTGTCTCCCACCCACCCCAAGCCTTGTGGAATCAATCCCTCAGAGTGTTGCTACACATCTTTCAAGGGTTCTGTTTGTAAGCCCCCCCCCCCTGCTTGTTGCATTGGTTTCTGTGGGTTGTTTGTAGCAGCTGGTGCATGATGAAAAGAGATGATTTCAAGTGGCTCTGGATGCAGTTTCATGTGGCTAGCGGTTTGTCCCAGGGCTTTTCTTAAGGAGGTCCTCCTTACCAATCTTTGAAAGGTGCCCGGGAGACTAGGGGGAGAGGCTACTTGGCTGTGGACGGAATAGCCTGTGGGCTGGCTCCACACACCCCTCCTTCCATTTTTGCTATCACCCTTCTCCCCTTCCGACAGTGCCAAGTGGACGGAGACGGAGATAGAGATGCTGAGGGCTGCTGTGAAGCGATTTGGGGACGATCTTAATCACATCAGCTGTGTCATCAAGGAACGGACAGTGTGAGGGAGGGTGGCTGGCAGAGAAAGGGGAGGGGTGGGCACCTTTCTTCTCCTTACCCATTGTTCTTTCTCAGAACCCCCAGCTCAGCATCTTTCCTACTTTGTTGCTAGTTGTTTTTTTTTTTTTTTTAAAGCATTTCCTTGAAGACTGAAAGAATATAATAATTGTGGCAATTGGTCGGAAGTTCAGGAAATGCAGTGTTAATTAGGACCTTCAGAGAATTTTATTTTCAGGTGCCCAGATACTTAATGGGTGTATTTGATGATGAGGGTTCCCTAGCTCTTTATATAAATCCTTGAGACGAGTATTTCCAGAGATGCATTCTGGACTAGTTAGTTGATCAGGATCCATAAAAAAGTCTCAGTCGACCTTTCTGTCACCACAACATACCTGGTGGCCCTGTACATCCATACATCTCTCCCAGAGGATCATGAAAAGGGCCTTTCTGGCTGCTCTGTTCAGGGACTCTGTTCTTCATAACCCATTAGCCCTAAGGGGGTACAAAGCTGCTGAGTGGGGGGGGCACCCTTATGTCACATGGATTAGGGCCTTGATCTGGATATTTGTGAAGAACTAGAATTCCTTCAGAGTGGTCCATTATTCCTCCCCTCTCCCCTCGGCTTCTCTGATGAGTCTCCCTAATCTGCTGTCTCTTATCTTCAGGGCTCAGATAAAGACCACTGTAAAGCGAAAAGTATATGAAGACTCTGGCATCCCTCTTCCAACTGAGTCACCGAAGAAAGGGCCCAAGAAGATGACATCTGGGGTCCTCTCACCTCCAACCGCCCCTCCCCCCAGCAGCTCCAGTGTCCCCGAAGCTGGGGGTCCTCCCCTAAAGAAACAAAAGGCTGGTGAGGGCTGTGGAGTTGCTGCCCAGGGGAGGGGTTAAAGGTCCTGTCTGAGACTCCGTGAGAGAACTGGGCCTGGGTCAAAGGACAGGTCGCTCCTCTGGACTCTGTGGTGATTCCAGACCGGGTAGAGGGGTGTGTAGAGCATGAGGCTTTGGAGAACCGGGAGGAGGGAAAGCAGTCAGGAAACCTAGAACCTAGCCTGTGCCCCCCCAGATGTGACACTCAGTGCTCTGAACGACTCGGACGCCAACAGTGACCTGGTGGATGTAGAAGGGCTGGGAGAAACTCCTCCAGCCAAGAGACTCAACTTTGACCAGGGTAGGAGTCCTCCTCCTCCTCCCCCATGGCTGGGGTGGGGAAGAAGCACTCACCTGGATGGCAGGGGGGGGTCCCGGCAGAAGCCCCCCCTTTCCCGTGCAAGGGCTTCAGAAGGGAAGACACTCAGCGCAGGGGGATGGGCCAGTTAGTAATACGATGTTTGAGGAGGTGAGGCTTTCTCGGAACCATACTCCGGGCTTGCTCCATCTCGGTCCATTTGACTTCCTGTTCCAGACAGCCTGACCCTGGACTCTGGCCTTCTCTCGACCGCTGCTGATGCTCCTCTCCTCTCCTGCTGAGCCCGCCACCTCTGACCCTGGCTGTCCACCGTGGACCTGTGGCTCACCTGGGACTCTAAGCAAGGACTGCGTGAGAGAGGGTCAGGAAGCCACCGGAGCTGTCCGCCTTGCTCCTGACAAACCTGTGCCCTCATCCTCTGACCTCCGTCTGATGGACATTTTTATACAGAAAGTTATAATAAAAACTTCTCTCAGCATGCCGCTGCCGCTGCCCTCCCTCCCTCCCCTGGCCTCCCCTCTCCTCCCCTGCCCTCCCCTCCGCCCGGCCCCTTCTCAGTAGCTCTCACCACCCTGCCAGGAGCAGCACAGCCAGTATTGGCAGACTCACTTCCCAGTGCCAATATTTCTGTGCTGCTAGAGCCAGGAGAGCTGGGTGTGGGCAACAAAGGCCCCACTCTGCTCCGTGGGGCCAGGACGTACTCCCAGGGCTGCTGACCACTGGTATTAGACCACCTGGGGATTTCAGAGGGGCTCTTTCCGGTGTCTCGGACTCCCCCGCCCCACCCTGCCAGAACTCCACGACAATAGCCCGGACAGGTTTTTTTTTTTTTTTGGTGTGGGTGCGCTGCTTCTCCAGGGTGGCCTCCCAGGGCCAGGCCTCAGCGGCGCCTCCCCTACCCTCGCTCTAACACCACAGTGTGGTTTGGACGTGGCCACAGTGCCGTACAAACCACAGTGTGCTGCTGGGGCGGGAGCAGGACTTGGGTGGGTTGAGAGGAAGAGAGCACAAGGCGGTGCCATGAAGACCCCCCCCCCAGGAGTGGGGGGATGGAGGAGGTGTGGATGGCAAACACGGCCCAGCAAGCGGAGTTCAGCAGGCAATAGGGAGGGCAGGGCCCTGGGAGATGGGTTCAGTGTGATAAGCTTGGCACACTGTTCACCTCTGGAGGAGTTCAGCTCTGGGGATCCTGAGGATAGAGGCTGAGGGAACAGAATGACCAGGGAAGACCAACAGACTGCCTCCGACCTGAGGCTTTCTGTGTCCACTCCTCCCTCCCTAGGTCAGAACCCAAGAGAAAATGCTAGAAGAGACAAGGCCAAGGACGGCAGGGTTGGGAGCTGGCAGTCCAGAGGTGGTGGGGCTGGACCACGGTTGAGAGAGGGGGGCCGGAAGTCACCCTGGGCCCTGGGCCTGCCACAAGATGGAGGCCAAAGACAGGAAATGGAGGCCAGGGAGGAAGGGGAGCCACAGAGCCCAGGAAGAAGCCCATCTGGACCTCAGGGCCAAGTATTCCACCCCAAGTGCTGCTGCCATTCCCCATGGTCCCCCAAGACCCACGCCCCACCCCTACAGCAACACTCATTAGCCCATTCACCAGGCCCAGGCAGGCAGGCCCACCCCTGAGAGCCACGTTTAAGCAGAGACAAACATGTCTCTCCCCACCCCCAACCCTAGGCCTTCCCTTAGCCTTTTCCTCCTGTCCAAGACTTGATTTTAAAAAGACTCTCCCAGAGGCAAAAGTTTCTTCTGGAAATTAAAAACGAAAAACTCTGTAATACCCAAATATTAATCTCCCAACTCTCATCCCACCCTTAACCACCACCAAGCTTCCGACACACCCCCAAAACTCTTAGCAATCAAAAAAAATCTAAGATGGTGTGTGTAAGCAGTCTTTTTAGGGCCCCCTGAGGATGTCAGACCCTCTCCAAGACTACTACCTGTTCTATATCCAGCTCTGCCAAGGCCTCCTGCTCCTTAGACCCTCCAGAGCCCCCCAAAAAACTGCTGTACCCAGCTCCCATCTCAGCAAAGCTTTTGTGGGGGTAAAAATTATCAAACACTATCCTAATGTCTGGGGATATTGGGAGGCTCTCAAGTCTCAGGCTTTGGTTTCAATCTGGGGGGCTGCATCTTAGGGGTACAAGAGAAAGGTTCTCTGGTCATCCCCCCAATTCCAAGAGTTACAGAGCCCAACCCCACCCCAGCACGCACCTCCAAACCTCCCCCCCAACCGCCACGTCTCTCCTGAAAACAGGGGACACTTTCCTCCCCACTTACCTCAGCTACTTTCCCCTGAGATCCTGGTCCCCTATTTTGAAAGGAGCAAATTTGGGGGTGCATCCCTCACATTTTGGGGTGCAGGAGAAAAGAGTCGCCCAGTCGCATCGCTGGCCTCCTTCCTCTCAGCTGGCTCAAGGACTGGGGGGTGCCCTGGGGAGGGGGACCCCCACAAGAGAGCTCTGGAGGGGTTCCTCCACTCCCAGTCAGAACTGGGGACACCCCCCCCAAAACCCGTCCCAGCCCATCCGTCTCCAACTCGGCGGGAGAGGCAGCTGCACTGCAATGCCCCAGTCAGGTTCCCCCAACACTACATTCCTCACCCCATCTAGAGGGGTCCCGGGGCCCCCAAAAAATCCCAAAAAAATCTAGGATGTTGGGAAGACGGTCCTGGACTAGCTACCCAAATTTGGGGTCCTTAGATACCCCCGTTTTTCCAGGAAAATTCTGTCTTTCTCCTGCCTCCCGCCAGCCCTGCTCTGTCCCGATGCCAATTTTGGAAGTCACTCCCTCCCTCCTCCCTCCTCCCCGTGTCTCCAGGCCCCCCCCGCTGGGGGGCTGGGGTCCAGGACACCTGGCTTCCAGACCGGGGGACACTCTTTAGAGGGCTAGGGGCCAAGAGGTCAAGCTCATTGCCCCTGTCTCAAGGAAGCAGGAAAGCCCGATCCTCCCCTCCCCTCCCCTCCCCCCTGGCTGGTCTCGGTGGTGGTTTAGGAAAGCCTGGAGGACTGGAATCTGCCATTGCTATTGCACAGGCAGGTTTTTTTTTTTCCTTGGGTTGGGGGGGTGGGCGGTGGGAGGGAGAGAGGGGAGGAGAGCCGAAGAGAACAGGGACCTAGGCGGGAATATCTGGCCTGGCTTACCCTCTAGCCCCTGCTGCCGTTGGGGACCCCTCCCCCTCAGCTCACCCTCATTCCTAGTCTGCTTTCTGTTTGGGGCTTTTATCCTAAAAAACCAGGGTGCAAGAATCAGCTCCTTGTAGCCCACTTCAGCCGCTCCTTGTCAGTTTCAGCAACACTACCTTGGTCAGAAGCACCCACTTTAAACGAGTCACCTCGTTTTCCTCTAAACTGATTTTTTTTTTCTTCCGTAAGAAATCGGGGTTCAGAGTGTGAAGCCACCTCTTCCCCCTCAGCTCAGTAAGCCATATCCTAATAAGTCTATGATGAAACATACTGCTTTTCCCAGGCTTCTCCCTTCAAACCCTTGGCTTATTTGGGGGTTCACTAAAATAGAACTTTCTGGAATCTGGGGCAAGAGGGGGCCATCAGCAAAAGACAACCTAAACCAGAAATGTGCTCTAGAATAGGTGAGCTTCCAGACTGATCTCAGTTTAAGATCTATCTCCGCGTCACCAAAGGTGACAAGACACCCCAAAACTGGACACCCCAAAACTATCCTTCTCGGGGGGGGAGTGTTCTCACAGTCTCTCCCCCTAGAAGAGTTTCATACCTAAACATGTACACAGGAATACCCTCCCCTCAAAATGAGCTTCCACAAGATTCAGATATAAAACTGCCCCCCAAACAAGTCCTCAGCTACAAAAGCCTTCGAACTTGCTCCTAGCTTCCTGCTCTGCCCCCACCTCAATGTATGCTTTCTAAAAAGCTCCAAATTGAATTTTATGTCCCCAAACAATCTCTTCTAAACCTTGAAACACAGAGCATTCGGAAGGATCTCCCAGGAGACCAAAACAACAGAGATGGACAGTCTCAAAATCATGGTCATCAGAATCCCACCCCCAACCTTTAAAACCCAGTCCCACACTTCCGGCTTGCTATTAGCTCTCAAGACTAAAAAACAGGCCCCGTGGACTATAATAACATCCTATGGCAAGCAGCACCCCAAAACTGACCACATACCTAACTCCATCCTGACATCAAAGGGAGGAGCCCTTGGTATTTTCACCTCGAATTTGGAGGTTAAAAATCGGATAGAGACCAAAATAACCCTGACAAAGTAAAGACACATCTTCATCCAGAATCCTTAGGTTATCCCCAAATGTCAGTTGATCTGCTGTTTTGTTTGTTGTGTGTCTGTCTGCTCAAAAACAACAAACAAAAAACGCCCCCCCCCAACGGAAGGGAGAGGCCTCAGGCCTACTTCTGCAGCTCCATGGCCAGTGCTCCTTCATTCCTGGTCAGCTACATATGCCCCTGACGCCATAACCAAAGAGCTCCTGCTTTGCCCCTGGGCTCAGCTCTAGCCCCTCTTCTTCAAGCAAAACCTCATCCTCCTGTACCACAAGGCTCCCCAAACAAAATCTAAGGGTGTGGTCCCTGCCTGTCTCCTGGATGGAGTACTTAAAGTAAGGTTACCGGGTTCGGGTTCTTCCTCCCTTTCTCCTCAACCCTGTCTTTGTTTACTCCACCCAACGTTCATATTAATGTTCACTAAAAATTCACGCCTATCTAATTAGAAAAGACAGTCCCGTGCTCCCAGGCTCAAGACCCTACTCCTCGTCCCAACCACTCCCCTCATTCCAAGGCCAATTCCACAAGAGTTCCAGCCTGAGTTTCCTTCGGAGACCCTAACTCTTCCGCCCTCTACCTAAGTGCCCCACTAAGAGACAGAGGTGCAGAATAAACTCTCGCAAAGAGAAGGCAGCGGAAGGTTTCGGTGGTGGCCCAGACTGAAGGCGTCCAGCTCCCTGGTCTGAGCACATCCCCAGCCGGGAGGAGACCTAGGGGCGAAGCGAGGCTAGTGCTCGTCCGCCCCCTCGTGGAAGGATGCAGACATTGCCGAGCTTTGCCTCCTTGCCGCGCTGGACCCCGGCGTCCCGCCAGACTCTAAGCGCAGCCGACCGGCGGGTGCTCGAGGCCCTAGTGAGCTAGGACTGACCGAGAGCAGCAGGGCTTTGGGAGGGAGTCTGTCTCTCTGGATCCCTAAAAGGGTTCAGGAGAGAGTCTGGAGGAAGAGGCCGGACGCCTAGGTCTCCCGAACGTCTCTGGGTCCCCACCCGGGGCTTTCCCCACCTCCTCGAGGGGAAGCAGCTGCAGGAGCCGTCCGGTCGCAGGACAATGGAAGGAAACGAACTAGAAATCATATCCGCCCTCTCCTTACCCCGCCTGGTCAGAGCCCCTCCTTTTGTGGACCCTGCCTGTCAATCACGCCTCCTTTTCCCACTGTCTGAGCGCCCTCGGGAGTCCACTACCGCCTGCCCAAACCCGATACCTCTTGGGCTCTCTATTTTCTCCC